CCTACCCTGCAGGTACCTCACTGAGGAGGGTGGTGTGGTCCTTCTCAGCAAGGAAGTCGATGTCTCGGGAGGTGACGATGCCCACCAGCTTGCTGCCCATGGTGCCCGTCTCAGTGATGGGGATGCCAGAGAAGCCATGCCGAATCTTGGCCTCCAGCACATCACCCACCGTGTGTGAAGGGCTCAGCACCACGGGGTCCGTGATGAAGCCCTGTTCAAATTTCTGTGGGCAGAGACAGGGAAAGGGAAAGACTGGAAGAAAGCCGAGGTGGTATACAGTCTGACCGCAGCAGGCACAGGGTATCCTGGACACGCCACAGAGGAGCCAAGGCCCTCAATGGGGTGAGGGGCCACTGGGAAAATAAGGCTGGGCCCTGAGCCCCCATTGTGAAGAAGGGCAGAAAGGACCCCAGCAATCAGCCAGGAAGTGCACCAGCCTGCAAGGCTGGCAAGGGAAGCTAGGAGGGTCTGACGTGGGGGCCACCAGGGATGGGCCTTGTACTTGCCTTGACCTTGCGCACTTCGTTGGCCTGGAACTCAGGGGTGCAGTTGTGGTGAATGAAACCGATACCGCCCATCAGCTGGGGTGGAAGGGAAGCGTGGTCAGAGCCAGGAGGCCAACCCTCCTCACTCTGCAAACCCCACCTCTGATTCCAATTCCCCCTGACGTCATTCCATCCCATTCAGTCCCCTTAGCTCTGGGGTCCCCACCCAGGTGCCCAACTCACAGCCATCGCGATGGCCATGTCAGCCTCTGTCACAGTGTCCATAGGGGAGGAGATCAGTGGCGTCTTCAGCGTGATCTTCCGAGTTAGAGCTGAAGTCAGGTCCTGAGGGTGGAGGCACAGTCTATGTGAAGAGTTTTATTATCCACTCAAACACTTACTGAGTTCCTACGTGCACCTGGCACCAGGACAGGCCTGGGGATATAGCAGTGAACAACACAGATGAGACCCCTGCTGTCTTTCCCAGAACTTAAATTCTACTTGGAAAGAAATAAGACAAACATGAAACATGTATGAAACAATTTCAGCCAGGAAGAAGGCTCCAAAGAAAAGCAATAAGGCAAAGTGACCACTGGAAGAAGGATGTGCTGGTTGGGGAAGCCTCTTTCTTGGCAGGTGACAAGTGGAAGCCAATCAAGTCAAAGTCTAAGGGACCATCGTTTCAGGCAGAGGGAGCTGCGTGTGAAACCTGCCTCTGATTCTAAGTCTTCCTGAGGTGTATTTTAAAAAGAAGAAGGCTAGTGGACTAGACGGGG